TGTACAGTGCTGTTGGCAATTGGGTATAATAAAAATCTATTTTGTGTATTACAACAAGACAATTAATAGAACAGCAACATGATGATGAATTTGAATGAAGTAAACTAAAATAATTACACAAAACCTCCTGATAAATATATCATGAGTGGGATATATTTATTTTCCCCAAGCCCTTTTTACATTCTGTACTCAATAAATTTGCCATGCATACCATAACTTCATTATACAAAAATAATTTAGTTTTATCTTTGCTTTTCTTTGAACAGGAAAATAAATATTGTGAGTAGGTATCATGGTGAGCTGAACATTTACCTTCTTAAATGATTTTAGTTCAGTGAAGAATCAAATGCAGTAGTATTTTAATGGTGTGAAAGAGATTTATTAAGACTTTGTTTTGAATCAATAAGCTATGCTACTTACGTAGTGTAGTGCTTTATCTTCTGAATATCAGTTGGTATTTTAGAGGTTATATATAAATATATATTTTTCCCCTAAAAAGTAACACCTATCATATAATGATAACTTTTGTGGGCCAGAGTATGCCAGTATTACTCATGCTGAGTAACACTACTCAGCAAGCAAGACTTGATTTCAGTACAAGGCTATTCCTGGAGTGGTTACCTACTCAACACAAGTGGGGACAAGATTCTGGTCCTAAATAGGTAATGTAAACATGGAATAATGCCTTTTGTGTGTCTTTTACATAAAGATTTCACACAGGATCTGATTTCAGGTATTTGGCGTAAGACTGGAACAACACCAGCTATTACACCTTTTTTTTGTCCATGTTTGTGTGAGATCGTGATCAGAATCTGGCCCATCAATTGTTTTTTGCTTGTTTTTCACTGTATGTTTGTATTAGAACCACAAAACATGAGAACCACAGAATACAAAGGATTAAAATTTACCCCTTTAAGATGAAATAGTCACCTGTAGAAAGGATATTTTTTCCAGTGGAGCATTTTGTTCTCCCCTAAAATAAAAGTAGAGTGGAGGGTAAGCCTATCAGGGAATTCTGTCATTCCTAGTGTTAACATGTACTGATGTATGCTGTAATATTGTGCTAGGTATTGGTTTTAGAAGCCACTGACAGATGCACATACTTCTCTCCTGGGAAAACAGTAGCTCCCAACCCTTACTCTGTACACATAGATCTGTTGCAGTACATTATCATTCTGTTGTTTCTGTCTGCTAATTTAGATTAGGATAAGTATTAATGTTGCATTACAGTGGGTGCATCTACTGCTCATTAATGCACCTTAGATACTGCACGCTTTGGGCATTTATACACGTACTTTTGTCTGCTCCGATGTGCTAGAAGTCTAGCGTGTCAGAGCAGACTCAATTAATCTCTCTCCACCTCCCCTCCCAACTCTAGTGTTATCATTAAGATGAAAATTTTATATCAGTCTTCCTTTTCAAGAACTTGCCACAGCTTCAGGCAAACCCAAAGATGTAAGGGAAAACATTTCTTTATACATTAAAAAAAATCATATAAAAGTATTTAATGGATTTGCTTTTTCTTATACACTTATTTTAAAAAGAAATCCAGTTTCTAAGCAGAATAAACACATGAGGCAATAAGTCACTGTGGAAAAACGAGGCATCAATATGCAAGTTCACTGAACTGATGAAATGAAATTATATTATTAACCTGATAATGGTTTTATGTAAAACCAATTCTAATGCCATTGCTTAAATACTGTAATGTATTTTGGATTATAAGAGGACTTCTGAGAGACATTTCTGTCTTTGCTACAGAAATATGCATGTATATGTGTATTTTTCATTTCTGTATGTTTGATGTTTTAGAAACCAACTAAGTTGGACTAGATAGGTGGCTACAGATCCAAAATACTCTGCAACATCCTTTAATGTCAGTGGATACAATTTGAACAAATGCTGTCCTTGGTTTTCTTGTTCCTGAAATTGGTACTATGCTTTCAAGAACAACACTGAGATGTTACCAATGCTTGATGCCAGCAAGCTGTTCTCAGAACTTAAACTGCTTTAAGGAAAAGAAGTTCCATTAGGGCATAAATTGTTGGCACAGAATTTTTTCTGAAATAGAAAGTGAAAACAAGTTCTTCTAGCGCATTTCTTACCTGTGATGAATTAACGTGGCACTTAAGTAGAAATATGCCGTTCCCTGCCTTAAAGAGTTTCAGGAAAAGGGCTTTTCACTTTTTGGTCTCAGCCTGATTCTAGTCAATCAGTTTCCCCCTAAATTTTTTGTTAATTTTAACTTCCTTTCTGTTGGTTTTGGCTGTAAATATTTATAGGTCATTCTGAGCCATGCTTTAAAGTTCAGGTCTCAAATAATTTGTTGCTTCTGAATCAATGCTGGATAGATGTGCTCATAGCACCAATGCAAAGACTTAAAAACATATTTAAGGCCTTCCCTCTTCAACAACTTAAGCACTGACATAAATGAAATGTAAACATGTCTTAATTGCTTTGCCAAATTTGGGCCCAACTGTATACGTTGTTGGCTTCTGCTGGCTGGAATGTCATACCTTGCCCAGTAGATGTGACAACATTGCTTTTGGGGGATAGGAATCTTAATATCATGACGGCTACTCCAGAATTTTCTTTAGCTCCAGTATTTCACAGACAGAAAAAAACATCTTTTGGAAGTGAAGTTCCCGTGTTGTTTTTCCTGCTGCACATGTGTAATTTACCTGCTGTCCAAACTGCCTTCAGAAATCGTTTGGTTCTTCCTTATTAGGTTTATTCTCATACAAAGGCATTGTGAGAGGAGGAATACTTTTGAGGACCTCTCTCATGTTAATAAAAGTGTTATTGCGTTGACTAATTCACTAAAGATTTGAAGGCTTTGGCATTAAAAGAATGTGACTTCCCCTTAAAATATGTAGTTTTACAAGTAGTCAGATCAAGGAACTCATCATTTGTTAAAGCAGGTGCTATTTCTCTTCAAATGATCAGCCACTCCTGATCCTCTTCAGATGAATGTAAGAATCACCTCTTTGACATTTCTGGATTGACAGGAGCATTTCAAAACACACCTCTTTTGCAAGGAAACAAGATACGGTACTGTCTGCCACATGCCATGAAAAAAGAAACCTAGATGAAATTTGGCTGCCAGTGTGAAGCCTGAATATGTGAAATTATATATCAGATAAAAAGAATAATTAAATATAAAGAATACTTCACAGACTATGCATGTTTTTCCCTTAATAATGCTTTGACTATATGTTTTATATAATTAAATCCTATTCTACAACATGTGTATTAAATGAACAAATAATATAATTTTTTCAAGTAACAGAACTAAGGTAACAGACCTAAGAGATCTAAAGGTGGGCTGAGTGACGTCATCTCATGGACCATATATGATCCACAGGCTGCTAGTTGGACAATTCAGTGTCAAGGCGTGTTATATTTATTTACAACGAGAGAGCAGTTGATTTCTTGTCAGGAAATGACTTAAATGAGCAATATAAAAGGAAATCTATCTCCCCAAAGTAATCTCTAATCTTATTCTAGGCCATAAGAAATTCTTCTCTCAGGATTTTTTTTAATGAATTGCCCATTCAGCAAGAATAAATTACATTGTAGGTCATACAACATCAAGTGCACTCATTCCAAATGATGATTTTGTTCTCCGCTCAAATGAATGAGTACTATAGATCCTGATATAATGACACAAACAGTATTTAAATAAAATTCAACTGGAGTTGTGATTGAAGAAGTTATCATATTCCGTTAAGTCTAGAATATAAACTCTTGGATTAAATGCATACTGTTTTCTTTTTTCTTTATTTTTTTTAAGTTGCTTTATTCATTTCCCAGTTGATCATATCCAGTATCTGCCACAGGGTAAATCTGTTCATAAAGATCTTTCTCAGGGTTACACTGGTGTTTGTGACAAGTAGGTAAATGCCCTTTTTGCAGCCAGAAACAAGTGTTATAAACGTACTATAATTTAACCCTTGTTTCAAAGAAATAATTTGGCATTGTTGCTCAGAATCAATGAATTTAAAAACAGTCAATTTTCTATGGGAGTGAAACTCTACCTTAATAGTTTATAGAAATTTTGGGGGGTTTTGGTATAAGATCATGACATTAAATTGTAGTGAGTTAAATATTTTACCTAAAATCTAGCTGATTACTTTATTGTGTCAGCTGTTTTCTGCTCAATTTTTAAATGTACTTGGAATGCTCAGAAGACTTTTGAAGTAATTCCCAGCATCATTCTGGATTACTGTTTATGGATTGAAATGTTTATTCTTTGTTATAATCTCTGCTTCAAGCACAAAGTTGAACTAAATTTTTTTTTAAGTAAATTAAGAAAGCTAGATCAGTAAACTTCCCACACTATCCTGCCAACCAGAGAGGGTGTCTCACTATTTAATTTATTACTGAAGAATGAGGCAGCTTGCCTCTGGGATTGATTGAAGTCTTTTTATTCTTGACACCTTCATAGTCAGCTGCTCAGCATGGGTAAACTCAAGCAACACAAGTCTCAGCCTTTGGCAAGAAAAGAAATTCTACAAGCAATTGGCTAATGCCTCACAAAGAAGTTTCAAGAGAGGTCTATGTGGGATACAAAACCAAACAGCAGTAAATTGAAACTGCCCGCTGAAGACAAAATGTATCATTTTGCGAAAGGCATATCAGAACGTTGTATACTCTATTCAGTCTGACAATGGCATTCAGGAAGACAGAGTTGATTTTCTTGTATTAGTAGCTAGTGACCAAAATATTTAAACAAAGTAATGACTTCATATGTAAAAGTTTTGCTTTGTATGATAGAAATTATGGCCCTTTTATGCTTTGCTGGGTTTTGTGGAAGTAATATATTAAGATAATGTTAAAAATAGTATGAAGCTATTAAAGACTGAGATGGTTGGATATTTGGTAGCAGAGACCATATATGTACCCAGAGATGATCCGAGTAGGGTGCGGAGCTTGAGGCAAATCAGTTTGTGCAGGGCCCTGCCCTTGGACATGAGGAAGCCAGTGGCAGATTCGACGGCATGGGGATGGGAATGGTGGTGAGCAACTGGATGCGCCGAATTCAGCAGCGGATTTGGTGGCAGGGATGCCAAGTGGCCGAATGTGAAGCCAGTGGCAGTGCGGAGTCACCATGCTGCTCTGCCTGGCTCCGTGGGGCCCCCCAAAGCATGGGGCCCAGGGCAGTTGCCCCAATTTGTGCCCCCCAGGGATGGCCCTGTATGTACCTTAAATAGTCAGGTTATATAGTCATGCTTAGATCCTGATTTCTATTTTTGAGTAAAGGGCCCTAAAATTGGAAAAAAAATATATATATTTATACCCACTTAAAGGTTGCCAGAGTTCGGCATGACCTTAGATTAAATTGAGGATGAGGCCTCTGATGAACAAATTATACCAGATTAAAGTGGGAAGAAGGACCTGCCATGCGTCAACGGCTCTGTGGTAACTGTTTCATATGGCTGCTCCTATCTCATGGTTACTGGAATCTCAACTAATGAACCTTACCCCTCAATGAGTCAGGACTAAAGTACCCTAGTTTAGCCGGTGCTTACCTCGGGATAGAAGCAGACACAAGAAAAAGTTACCGTAAAGCAACATGCACTCCTCCTTCCCTTTTAATTTGGTATATTTTGTACATCCATCTATCCCCTAAGCTTCCCAGATGAAAAGCAATATAGAAATATATTTGCAACATTTTTTTGTGAATTAAAAATAGTTCCAGCTTTGGTCATTACTGCTTTTGCTCTTCTAAACTGATGTATCACTAAGAAAATATCCCATATCTACATAAATTCGATTTAAGTAATGGGTGAGTTATGGAACAGGACTGATCAAGAGCAATCAAAATAGCATTTTCATTTTACATGATGATATTTAATATCTCTATAACAAAGTCCATGGGGCAGGGAATAGCTTTAGCATTTTAGTTTGAAATCTGAATGTAAATGAAAGTTGTTGCATTTGGTAAAACTTTGTCTACAGTATTGTATTTTACCAGCTCTTGATTCTTTTCAGAGGACATCAGATAATAAGCAATACTCTGCCTGATACATTTAAGCAACTGAGAGAAAAGATTGTAAATTGTGGGAATTAATGGAAAACCTTCAAGAAAAAATATCCACACTACATGTGTAGAAAGCTGAATGGCAAGTGGTCTTCTGTTCCATAACTATGGTACAGCTTGTATTCCATATAATGCTTCTAGTTGGGTCTATACCAGATTTGTCCTGCTAAATCCTTAAGGTAAGTAGTCTCCTTGAGCAACATTTTTTGTAACAAGCCTGTATTATCTTTAATCTCATACAGGACCCTGAGAAACAACTAAAAATATTTATAGAAGGACTGAATGAATTGGGAAGTTTATAATAGGAAAGGACCTTTACATTTCTGTATCCACACTGGTCCAAATAATTATAGCCTTTGATTAGTATCTATTTGGTAGCATTTTTAGTGGCTTGTGTGATAAGAAAATAGATCAAATCACAATTTTGACTTGGTGTAAAATTGAAGTGCTTGATACTAAAATGAATTTATATTGACTGGATGAAAAAACAACTTTATACAGTTAAACCTAGGGCTCCTTTCCTAATTGTCCTGTTTAATGTCCTGTAGGCTAGTAGAGTTTATTTCCAGAATGTTGAAGGGATAGATGTGTGTGAAGGACAGCACTATTGCTGGCTGTTAACTATTGCAATGAAACTGGTTAAGCTTATACAATATACTAACACCATCTTTCACACTATAGCTGTTTACCTCAGAAGGAAAATTAGTGACATATTTCTTATATAGTTTTATTTCTTGGGAAACTGTGTTATACTTGGCACAGCAAATATTTATCAAAAACCATGATCTTGAGTAAGATTTTTATGGTGTGAGCTCAGGCTAAAACCTGCCCCTTTCAATATAACTGGGTCACATTGACTATACCAAGAGTTTGCAGATCATACTTATGGCCCTAAAGCTATGAAGGTGGTAGGAGTTATCCCAGTGATTCTTAACCAGGGTGCCATGGCACTTGGGGTATGTTGAGATCCTTTCAAGGGTGCCATAGGGTACCACACAATGCCCTGTTAGGTTTGCAAACATGGTTTACAAATAAACTCAGAGTTTTAAATTGGGAATTCAGGTGTTAAAAGCATTCTGCCCTGATGGTCTTCCTGAGTTCTTTGCAACAGAAGAATTGTTCTATTCTTTTTCACTGTGTTTTTGGTTGTAGCCATGTTGATCTAAGGACATAAGGCAGGCAAGGCTCTTTGAGGAGATGGGATATCTTTTATTAGTGTAGCAGGCTTGGCTTTTGGAGCTTGGGTTGAGTCCCAGGCTTGAAATCTTGCTGTTTTGATTGGTGGAGCTCATCCCCCAATCAGGAGGCAGCAAGAGGAGTTCAGTCATGCCCCTTTCCTGGGGGAAGGGGGAGATGAGTTCCCTCCCCCCCCCCATGGACCTGATTGAAGACTGCAATGCTCAGGTCCAGAAGACTTCAGGGGCGGAGCCCTGGAGCATATAAAAGGAGCTGCATGCCCAGCATGAGGGAAGCACATCCGGGAGGGAGAAGAGAGAAGAGCGAGGCTTAGAAGAGCTGAGATGAGCTGCAAAGCAGGGTGAAGCAGTAGCTCAGAAGTGCCCCTGAAGACTTCCATCAGTGGGGAATGGCGGACGGCTCCAGCAGCTAGGCTCTCGGTGTGCAGCACACCATATGGCGTCCAGACCCAGGGAGCTGTGTGAGGTGGCTCAGGTCTGCAACCTCTGGCGTGTGGCCAGAGACACGGTGCACAGGATGGTGCATGGAGTAGGACCTTTGGAGTGCTTGGGCAGCTCAGGTCCTCAACCCCTGGAATGAGGCTGGGAGCTCGGTGCAGGAGGCACTGCACAGAGGGTCCAGGAGCGGACCGAGCCTGGTGCTGCACGAGGCAGCCCAGGCCTCCAACCCATAGCAAAAGGTTGAGTCCAGAGAGCCAGACAGTGATCGGGTTACTGAGCCAGCAGACAGGGCCAAGCCAGAGGCCCCAGAATCCCTGTATAGCAGAGCTCTGTTCCATGGGACAGTGACCCCCCTGAAGCCCACTGCAGGCGAGAGAGCAGTCTGGTGCAGAAGATGAGGACCACCCTCCAGGCCTAGGAGCCGAGAGTTGCAGGAAAAAGAGGATTCCCAAAGGGAAGGGGAGTCCCCCCCACCTTGTTAGTTAAGGACTCCTGAAAGGGGAGGTCCCACTGAGAGGGCCTCCCCTAAAGTTACCAGCTTCTTTGTAGGGCTTTGGGAAAAGCCCAAGGGCATTGGGGTTTCCCCTCAGGATTGAGTTTATCTTTGGGGTTTATCTGTTTCAGATCAGATACTTACCTGTGACTTACCTGTATCTGGAGCACTGGTATAAGGTTTTATGTCAATAAAACCCAGAGGGTTTTAGAAATATACCCAAAAAATACCCAGAGGGTATTGTTTATGTTAGTGGTTTAGATATCTTATAAATATATATATATACATTGTACATATGTTTGTATCCATGTTCCTTCCCCTTGTGATAAGTTAATGTAAATAAATGTGTATATAGTTAAGTCCCCTGGCTGTCCTGGCCTGGTTTTATAGGGACGGAGGGAAACTGAGCGGTGTGCAGTTTCCACCCCACAGCACGTCTGCCAGCTAACAATCCCCTTGAATTGGAGAAGGAGAGTATATACCCAAGTTACCTGGGATACATTAGATTCAGTTGGTCTAATATTATATGTATAATAACTTAATAATAACTGATATATAATAACTACTCAATTGGTCTAATAAAAGATATCACATCTACTCAAAGAACCTTGCCTGTCTATTCTTTTTCAGTAGTCAAAAAGAGTGAAAATGAAAAGCTGACATTTTCCAAGGGGTACCTTGAGTCTATGGAGAATAGTAAATATAGCAACTTACACTTAAGACAATGAGAAAAGTAATTTCTGCAACAATAGCCCTTTTAGTCTGACCTAAGCAGTATACAAGGATTTAAAACAAAAGCTAATGAAAAGAAAAATTAAATTGGGGATAAATGAAAAATGAGATAAAATGCTGCATGAGATTTTTAAAATTATATTAGTCCTGACTAACCCAATAGTATCATTTTAATTTATTTATTTATTTATTTTTGGATAAGATGAGGCTTCTTCCTATCATATGTAGGCTTTCTGGTCTGCTGCTGTCCAAAGAATCTTACTGAGGATGAGCACTAACCAGCTACTTCATCTCTTCTGTCTAGTAACTGCAGTCTTGGTCCTGTGTTACATGATGTCAAAAGACCACAAAATTACAGGACTGGAAAATTGAAATTTTGCTATCTCAGATATATTCTTGTTCTATTTTAATTTTTGATTCTTTATGTTAACATATTTTACTTAATTGGAATATGGATTAAGCCTGTGTAAAGCCAGTTCATACTGGCAAAATTTCCTTTAAACATAAGCCCTAGCTCTGCCCTCAAAACAGCAGTTTATAAAAGAACCTGATTTGGCTGCTTGCAGATGTTAAAAATGAAACAAAACTGAGCTTTACTTTAAACTCCACATGCTTCTGCACCAAGCCCAGTGCATGTCCAATAGAGGCAGCACGATAGTTGGAGCTGGCTCCCCTGATGTCTGTTTAGACTGGGCGCTTTAGTGGAGGTTTTTTTGGTGCTTTTATCTAATAGCTGATTGAATCATTTTAGATAAAAGTGTCAAAAAGTGCTGCTGAAGTGCCCAATATATACAGACGCAGTGAAGCCGGGTCAAAGTAATGTGCTGCTTCTTACAATAAAGTGTGTTTGTCTGTTTTAACATCTGCAAGAAGCTTCCCATATCTTCTTAAGAACAGTTTAGCTGTTTAGTGTTTTCATTGCTTTGGGCGCACACTCGTAATTTTGGTTTAAAACCAAAATGGACAGCTCTGTCCCTAACCAAGTTAGTTTTGCTACCATTGGTGAGATCTTTCAGTTGGACTAAAAACCTTTAAAACTAGGGCAAACAGCCTCCTAGTTTTGAAGTCATAAGAAAAATGCATTTATTGCATTGATTTGATTATCTACTTGGTTAATTGAATGATTTGACCAATTTATGACTTAACCCAATATAACTTTTTAATATATTGATGAAAGTTGCAGCCTTCATTTGCTTTCTAGTTAGTGTAATGAAAATAATTGATAAATTTTATCTTCAGCAAATTTTCATATCTCTTTGTTGGTTTTAATAGATGAATATATTTTAAGGCTAGAAGGAACTAATTAGGGTAATGTAGTCAGTTTTATAAGTTGATCATTTGCCATGCATCCAGATCTTCAAAGCTTCTAGATCCATGTTGCTTATTAGAAGAAATGTGACTACCTTCCTTCCTGTACATTAGAAAAACTTAAAAGTCAAATCAAGAAAATATTTTCCTAAAGCCATAAGCAATAGGCTAAAGCAACAGAAATGCCAAATAAAAAAATAGTCTCATTTAATTAGAATTAAATCCTCAGAGTAGTTAAATCATCCAATTAGTTAAAAAACAAATCAATCCTAATAAATTGCAAGAAGGACACTCTCCATTTAGTTATGCATTTTAACTAAAGAATCTCCCCAAAGTCATTCTAATTCATCATTTAAATTGTTAAGGTTTTTAATCCCCAGACCAAATCATCATCCAGTTTCTGGGACAGAACCCCAGTGCTCCAAATACTGGATAATTATAACCAATAATAAAAATTTATTCTTAGATTTAAATTTCTGTGTGGTGGCTGACCCTTTCTTATTCCCCGTAATACAAACTTAATGCAGATTTTAACAGAGTCTTCAGGATAAGCAGAAATTTGACAACATTTCTTTGCCACAGATTAGAAATTACCAATTTATCTCTCTCAGGAATTTTAAATACAGAATGCACCTTACTGAGTAGTTTTGTTATATCACTGTTTAAGTCAAGGAAACTTTTCTTTCTTGTACCTTCCCTATGTGAATTTTATAGGTTCATACATGAATTCAACACACTTTTATTTTCGCACCCTAAAAGTGAAACAGATTCTGATTGCTATTGATAATGAAGGAAAAGCATGATCCAGATTTTGAGAGGGGATGTTTAGACAATTTTGGATGTAGCTGAGAATATGTTAGGAAGAAAGAAAAGGACCAAGAAAGAACAATGCATCTCAGATGAGGTGTTGAAACTGATTGAGAACAGAAGAAAAATATGACCAGAGAATAGGCAGCAGGTGTACAGTACAAGGTATAAGTCTTGATAAGCAGTAAAACTGAGGAACTAAAAGGCTTGGTCAATAGATAACATACCATAGGAAGAGTACAAACTCTCAATATCTCAAAGACAAAAACAGTGGCCCTAACAGAAGAAGAATAAGACCTGACATTTCTGGTGAAAGGGAAAGAAGTTGATGGGGGTTGAAGAGCTTTTGTACATAGGCTCGGTCATTAATCAAGATAGTTCGTGTGAATGGGATATCCAAAGGATTAGGCTTAGCATGAACAGCCATGGCAAATCTATCAAGTATCTGGAAGAATAGAGGGGTCAGCTTAAAAATCAGTCTTTTTTGAAGACAGCTGTGTGGAGAACAGCCATATATGGCTGTTAAAATTGGACATTGAAAAACAGATATTCAGAGACTAGAAGCATTTGAAAAAATAGGCTTATAGAAAATATTGAGAATCCTGTAGACAGAAAAAAAATCTAAGGAAAAAATAGATATGACCAGAGACCTTGTAATTGCATTTAAGAGAAGAAAGTTTTAATTCTTTGGACAGGTTCTTAGAGAAGGGAACTGGGAGAGAAGACTGTCCCAGGGGAGCTGGGATGCCGAAGGAACCCCGGGGCAGCAAGGAGTCCTACTTACCTCCCACAGAGCCGGGGGAGGCGCGTACACTGAGGACGCCGGTGCGGGTGATCAGCCGGGCGTTTATCCGACTGTGGCAGAGCAGCGGGGGTGGAGGACGCCTCCCAGAAAAAACAAAAAACGGCCCTGCTGAGGCAGCGGGGCGGCTGGTGAGGAGAGACCAGGGGAGTGAGCTCTGGCATGAAGGAGATCAGCCGCCGCACTCAGCTGCAGCGAGAGCAAGGGGTGGAGCCAGGGCGGGCTCCGAGAAAGCCGGCAACAGAACCGGCATCAGTGCTGGCGGTGGGACCGGCTCCGATGCTGTTGGCGGCACCGGTGAGAAAGCCGGCTACATTGTAGGCAGCAGAGCTGGTGGAGGAACCAGAGGCATCTGGAGCAACAAAGCCAGGGAGGAAATTGACTGCGTTGCAGGCAGCAGAGCCGGGGAAGGAACCGGAACCATCCTAAGCAGCAGAGCCGGTGGAGGAACTGGCTGCACTGCAGGCAGAAGGGCCAGCGAGGGAACCGGCCGCATTCCAGGCAGCAGAGCTGGTGAAGGAACCGGCTGCTTCGTAAGCAGCAGAGCCGGTGGAGAAACCAGCAGCCGGATTAAGGAAGGAGCCGAGGCGGAAGGACTGGGCTGGCGACCCTGGCAGACGGCACATTGAGCCAAGGACCTTTACGGATGGCCGGCAGGTTTGGGGTAAGACAGCGGCAGGCCTAGGACACCGTGGAAGAGCTAGGACACCGTGGAAGAGCTACAGGGGGTGAGTGGCCGGGGTGTAGGGGAGGACGGAGCCGCAAGACTACCCGCCGGGGACCACGCCAACTCTGGTGGCTACCCCAAGGAAGGACCCCCCACTGAAGTTACATTCAAAATCGTGGCAGGTGCGTTCAGGGGTCCTCCTGACATCAGCAGGGGTAGCCTCCGGGGTCCACCCGTAAGCCCGGGGCCCACAAGATCTAGGGCTTGGGTGAAGGCGGCGCGGGAACACCTATTAGAGCAGAGGCGGGTACAAAGACACTCATTCAAGGATGTATAGATAAAAGGAGGAATGGAATAACAAGAATAAATGACATAGAGGAGTAGACAGAAATAGGAATTGATCAGACAATAAGATTTGTAAAGAAATAGCTGTGGAGATAAACTGGCTCAATAAAGGGCAGTTGGATAGAATAATTAAACAAATCAAAGTAAACAAATAGCAGAAATGAAGAACATGATAAAAGAGTGGGTTTTGAACTTCTCAGCTCTCTGCCTTCTGGATCTGATGGCAGGTGGTAACATTCTGGTGAGACAGCACTTTCCATCAGGGAGATTCATCATCAGTTGCAGTGGCCTTTTATTTATCCTGGCTTCTTTCTCCCACAGAGGCCAAGTTAGAGGTTTAAGAAGGTCATTCTTCCCTCACCTGTCCTCTCAGCCTTTCCTTTCATTCTTATAGTTTGTGGACTTCGGTTGCTTGGCCTTGTAGTCTCTCCTTTCAAGGTCTCCAGACAAATCAGGTCGGAAGCCTACCTTGAAGTCACCTAGTTTGAACCAATCATGTTCAAATTAAGTTGTCTTTAGCAAGGATCAATTTGGAAATGTCCCACAACTCACCTATTTTGATATTGTTTTGTGCTGCATAACATAGAGACTCTAGATATGGGTCCTAATTGAAGAATATCAATTCCTGGGCGTACTCGCCAGGTCTCAAACATCCGGTCTCGTGCGGCCTTGGTCCAGGCGGCTGGTAGAGGACATCCCGTGATCCTATAGGTCCGTGGCTGTCCATGGACATCCCGTGATCCTGTAGGTCCGTGGGCTGTCGTCTATCCCCTGAGTGACTTCCCCCCATCTCACCTGCCATGACTTTGAATGTTACTCCAGTTGGGGGGCCAGCCACCCAGGGTTGGCTGCAGCGTGTCGACTGCCCGGCGGTAGTCTGTGGGGCTCCACCTCCCCTACACCCCAACCTCATGCCAACCTCTGGCGGGTCCTTGGATCTTCTTGGCTGTACCCCCGACAATGTTTGTTTTCCCTGGGACCTGTTGGCTTATGTGTCCCCCACCACGCTCTAGGACCTGCCTCCTGAGACGACTAACTCAATCAGAAATAAGGCTATGGAAAATTGCATCCTCCTGGCTCAAACCGTCCCTACCCGGGACTCCAAAACTCACACTACACTTCAACAAAAATGGAGGCTCAAAAAAAAATACAATACAATGTCCTCCCATACATATTGCCTCACCCTATCTCTCAGCCCCTCCAAAAAGGGGAAAACTAAAGAAAGGAAAGACTAACGAAAATCTAGTGTGTGAGGACCTGACCGGTCCTTTACCCCTAACCTTATGTTAGGGCGATAGTCGACCCTTCACGCTCTCTGACCCTGCTGAGGTCTGGCCTGTTGGGGTCAACGTAGACCATGGCCCTTTGCCCCGGGTTGTTACAGCTCTCCCTCTGCCCTGTATGACATGGGTCGTCGTCCTTCTCCCCTGTAGGCTGCTATTCTGGGGTGTCTCCCTATATATCCAGCCACCACTCAGGTCGTGGGCTGGCACCCAGCCTCTGGCCGGGCTGTACCTCAGTTTCCCTCACTGCCCCGTTCTGTCCTCAGCCGGTGGGAAACCTCCCTTATCTCCTGCGCTTCTCCGGTGCTCCCACCTCTGTCAGCAAGGAGAACCTCCTTCAGCTCTGTTGTCCCTCCGTCGACCCTGCCTCTGCCAGCACAGGGAGCCTCTTCTGGCTCCTCTGTCTCATCAACGCTTTGTCTCTTGTTGCAGCAGAGGGCCCCTGCCAGCTCTCTCACCCTTCAGGTATTCCGGGCAGTGCCCAGTTCAGAGACCTCGCCGTCTCTGCTCTGCTCCCCCCGCCATCTTGCCCGGAGGTTCGTTTTATCCTCGCCAGCCGGTGATTGCCAGTGACGTCACCGGCTGGTTTCTGCTGGATAAAAGTGCAGCTTATGATCTGCGCAGATTTCCCCTTTCCCTCCAGCTGCATCGTGAGACCTGTTGCTTCCACTAAGGGATCTCTTTGAGTTATTTTTATATCTTTTTCCTTTCTGTCATGTGCTCCCTGCCCCAGGGGGTCCCTGTCTGTTGTTTGGGGTTCTTTCCCCCATTTTTCCCTGGGACACTGGGTATTTCAGAAGCAGGCCTGGTCTTATCTTTGTGAATAGTCTTCATTGCACCATCTATTAACAGAAAAGTCAATGTAAAAAGGCTAATTGGAAACAAGATCCTAGCAATAACCAGCCCCTCAACATTACTTCAAGAACAGACATTCAAGAAGCCTGAGCCAGAATTGATTCAATCTTTGCAGGTTTGTCTAACCTGGCTAGGCTAAATCACTTTGTAACTGCACAGACATCCCCTCTGGACTGAAAAAATGCTGACACATGCCTGCAGTAGATCAGGCTAGAAGCTGGGGGGCACTAGAGCAGCCCTCCCTTCCCTTCCATGGGGCTGAGCTATGGGGAGGGCGTAGCCAGGCCCCAGCAGGGTGCTGTGATTAGGGAGGTTTGCCCTGCCCTTGATAACAGAGCATTTATCAGTTCTGTTATAAGCATTTAGCACCCCATCAGAAAACAAAGCCTCGCTTATTAGTTCAAGCTCTTCTTAAACAACTTTTTTTAAAAAAAAGCAAATGCAGGGACATTACCAGCTGAGTTGTTAATTAGCTCCAAAACCCCCTAAGTAGACACTGTCCTGTCTGCCTTACACAGCATTAGCTAGCATACCATATGCTGGCTATGGTCCATGCTGTGGGAGAGAGGAGGAAGGGATCTTTCCTTTAGCAGCAAGTGGTGAGAAGGGACAGAAGTGAGTCACGAGGAAGCGAGCAGACCCTGCTGTGCCTGCAAGTCTCTGCCAGAGCTACAACCAGGGAGCAGAGTGGAGGGGCTAGCTCTGCTGTGGAGCATAGAGCCCCACTCAGTCCAGAGAGCATGCTGGGATGCTGGGGGACTCTGATTTAACTTAAACCAGCAATGGGGTATGGGACAGACATTGCATAAACCAGTTTGACCCAAATCAGTTAAGTCTGATACTACATTCAACCAGGTTTATCTCAAACCAGTTTCAGCCATTTTCAGACTGGTTTATGTGCACTGAACATCTGTTCTGTTACAGGTTTAAACCAGTTTCTGATCACTTAAGCTGGGTTCTGTGTAATATCTATCTCTAGCCATGGTAATCCATGAGTTAAAATATGAACTTTTTGACAACTAATGTCCCTGTTCTGATTTTTTTTTCAACAACTTAATATCAACAACTTAATATCTGGGCCCCCTCCTCCTTGTCTCAGTCAAGATATAAATAAAATCTTCAGTTCCCAAGGTGGAATCATGGTTCCATTGAAATCCATGGGAATTTTGCCACTGACTACAGTGCTACCAGGATTTTACCACACATCTTTCCTTACTGCACAATACAAGGTTATACTTATTGATTGCCTCCCTTAGGTGGGATTGGACTTGAGAACTCAGAAGGCCTATGTTCATATAAGCATGTATGTTCATTTTCTCTTCCTACCATTATCTAGGGGCATTTATGTTCCAAATAACAAGGCTTCAAAATGGAGCAAAGGGAGAAGGATTGAAACCGGGAATTCTTGTGGAAGACAAAGCACTTAATGATGTCACATAAATTAGATTTGTAATGAATTTGTACATGAAATGAATAAGGATAGCTAGCTTTTGTGGAAAAGGGATTGATTTTCTTAGCACTTCTTATGATCTGTTATACTGATGGAATTTTATATCTTTCTTTCCTTCATTTTTTATTTTTTCAATTCACAGTAGGATTAGTATATAATTAATTTAAACACTGAATAGATTGATTAGTGGGTTTAATTTGAGATTCATCTCTGCTGTCTCCTCCCACTCCACCTGTCTGTTTTTAATTTTCTGATATAATTGTGCACATGCATTTTAGTACAGCTCTGTTACTGCTATTTTATGCCTTAACTGCTTTGTTTAATTGTCTACTTGGGCTTTTGTCCACATTTTAAAGTTCTTTTTGTTTTTCTGAACCCTGGAGGATAAAGGTTCATATTGAACCTCAAAGAAAGGTTTTCAAAGGTACGGTTTACCCAGGCACTATATTATTAAAAGCATCACTAGTAGGAGCTGAGATAATTATTGCAAAAGGTGCCATTGCTTTGAATGTAACTAATACAGTGACTCTCAGCCAGAGTGTCATAGCACCCTCGGATTTCTTGAGATCCTTTTAGGGGTATTAGAGGATGCCATACAATATTAGCACACCTAGGTGTGTAAACTTATTTGTTTAGATAAACCCAGTGATTTCAAATAAGAATCCATAGGGTCAAAATACTTCTGCCCTTTTTGAGTTCTTTGCAATGGAAAAATTGCTGTATTATTTTTCCCTAGTAAAAATGATGAGTGAAAGCAAAGAGCTGGCATTTTCCAAGGGATGCCTTGAGTCTAAAAAGGTTGAGACCCATTGCCATAATGTATTAAGCATGAATCCCAGTAAGTTTTCCAGGCACTTATTACTGCTAATTTAGTAAAATTATCCTGATCTCGCAAATAGTACTAGGAACCATGACCTCCAGAATTCCATCCAAATACATGGGATCATTCATACTATTCCCAAATGCGTCAAATCCATAGTATTTTTTTCATTCTGGGTAATAACATAAGGTGACTCCATAATACACTAC